TGAAAATGCTTGCATTAGGATGAAGAACGCCGGCCTCGGAAAAGGATTGGCCTATAGCTGCATATGACACAGAAGTGTTTGACTTTGACGCATCGGTAAAGAACTCAGGGCATGTGTATTTATGCTGTAGTTCTAGGAAGTATGTATGTATGTGTGCAAGTGCTGCGTGCTTTGCGACATCAACAAAAGAGACATCACAGTCTATAAGCTGCCACTGCCACGGTGGAAGATATGTTGCAGGAGCCATCAAACTGTGTTCAAGAGGCACACCTGTTTCTTCGGCCAGGCTCCTTACACGCAGCGCATAGGGCTGCCTAAACGAAGGACGGTTCTTGAACAAGCCAGAACAAGACAAATCATTAATTGTGAAAAGGGAAGGGTGTTTCTTATCTGCCTTCACGTTCAAAAAGTACAAAAAGGACAGGGAACATCTTTGTAAATGGAGCGACCATTCATTCGAATCCACGTACAGGCTCTCCACAGGGCTGGTGCGGAAAGCATCCATAGAGAGGCGAATGCCTAGATGGTGGACAGGGTCGAGAATTTTCAAGGCTGATGGTGTTGCCGACTGATAAATTGTAGCACCATAATCTAGGCGTGTGCGTACGAGGCTTTTATATAAGTTAATTAAACATTTCCTGTCACTCCCCCATGTAGTGCGTGACAACACTTTCAAAATGTTCATTGTTTTTAAGCACCTGTCCCTTAAATACTTGATGTGTGGGATGAAGGTTAGCTTAGTGTCTAATATGAGACCAAGAAACTTGTGCTCGGTCTTCACTGACAGAGGTTGACCATGCAGGTCAATGTCGGGGTCAGGATGGAGGCCCCTCTTTCGGCTGAACAAGACACAAGTGCTCTTTTGCGCGTTGAGTATAAAACCATTCTCGTTTGCCATTGAGATACCTTGTTCAACCCTAGTTGAACTTGACGTTGGCACATTGAGATGTTGCACGATTTGTAACCAATCTGCACATCATCGACATATATGCAGTAAAAAATATTTCGTGGGAGAGACAGGCGCAAGGAATTCATTTTAACTATGAAAAGTGTGCAGCTCAATACACCTCCTTGTGGCACTCCTGTTTCTTGGACAAATACTCGAGATAAGACAGTGCCAACTTGGACACGGAATGTACGGTTGGACAGGTAGCTTTCAATAACTGTCAGCATTCTACCCCGCACACCTAAATGTGACAGGTCTCGCAATATGCCGAAGCGCCATGTAGTGTCATATGCCTTTTCTATATCGAGGAACACAGAAAGAAAAAATTGCTTATGAACAAAAGTGTCGCAAATTTGTGCTTCGATACGGACTTATTTTGTTTTTTTCGAGCATCACGGCACTCATTATTCCACCATGGGACTCGTCGTTTGCTTCACGGTCCACATGTTTGGGGAATACATTTTGTTGCTGCATCAACCAAGAAAGCTGTAAAGTAGCATACAGCATCCTCTATGCTCAATGCTGCCATGTCAGTCCAAGATAATAAAGTCATTTTTTGAAAGTTTTCCCAATCGGCTTTGTGAGTGAGCCATTTGGGAACTTGTGCAGGACATGTATTTGTTATTGATAAGCTTATAACGATAGGAAAATGGTCACTACCATATGGATCATGGCGCTTTCCGATTCAGCAGGCATGCATTGCAAGAAAAAAGAAGCTGTTCAATCAGGTGACCTCGAGCATCGCAGCGAGAGTCACCCCACAGATTGCTATGTGCATTGAAATCTCCCAGGAGAATATAAGGTTCTGGAAGTTCGTCTATGAGGGACTCGAATTCATGCTTTTCGAGACGGTGTTGTGGAGGTATGTAGAGAGAGCAGATGGTGACGAGCTTATTCAATAGAACTGCTCGAACAGCCACCGCCTCAAGGGGTGTTTGTAGTGGTAGGTGTGTGCATGCAATCCCTTGATTGACTATATTGGCAACACCACCGGATGGCACAATGGCATCATTCCGGTCTTTCCGAAAGATAACGTAGTGACGTAAAAAGTTGGTGTGTTTCGGTTTCAGGTGTGTGTCTTGTACGCACAGCACCTTAGGTGTATGTTTGTGTAAAAGTTCGTGGATATCGTCGAGGTTTTTCAACAGTCCTCTGACGTTTCACTGTAGTATTTGTGTCATTTTAATTTAGTGTGGTGCTGTGCATACAGAGGTGTTGCGTTAGTTTACAGGGCCTTTTGAGGGCCCTGTGATTCGAGGTTTTTCTTTTTTGGCGCGTTCCAAGGAGTTGCGCCTATCCTTCGGCGTCTGAGGCGCCAGAGGAGTGGGACTTGTATCCATCACCTCTTGTGAGGTGGTGGATGGTGCCTGCTGGGCAGGCACATTCACTGAACTTTCGGACCTGACTGCGCCTGCAGTGGTCCGAGGTTCAGCAGACACTAGGGTCTGCCGGCCCTGTTTGTCAGGTGGCGGAGCAGTACAGGCTGCTCCAGCCGGGGGCGCTGGCGGCACGACCGCGGCCACACACTGTGTGACATTCGCGGGTGCCGAGACATGTGGTGCGGCACCCCGGCGCGTCACATCTGCAAAGAAGGGATAAAATGGGTTGTGTATTGCGAAGCGTTGGCGCGCTTCTTGGAATGTGAGATTGAATTTAACCTTAAGTTCTACTATTTGTTTCTCTTTTTTCCATGCGGGGCATGATCATGAGTAGGCAGCGTGATCTCCTTCACTGTTCGAACAATGAGTTGTTTCTGAGGTGCAGTTGTCTGATATGTGTTGAATGGATCGCACTTTGCGCAAGTGGCACGCCCTCTGCAACTCTGCGATCCATGACCGAAACGTTGGCACTTGAAACATCGACGAGGGTTGGGAATGTATGGTCTTACACGAAGCTTACAATAGCCGGTTTCGATTGATTCTGGTAGGTCACTTGTTCCGAAGGTAATTATTACGTGTTTTATAGGGGTCAGTTTGTTGTTGCGTCTTATTGTTATTCGTTGGACTTTGACCACGTTCTGGTCCTGCCAACCTTCGAGCAGCTCACTTTCAGAAAGCTCCGTAAGATCATCATCAGAAATTACGCCACGGACAGTGTTCATGGACCTGTGTGGGCCCACCGAAACAGGGGTTTCCCCAAAGGCTACAAGCTTAGACAGCTTTTCATACTGAGCTTTGTCACGAACCTCCAGAAGAAGATCGCTACTTCCCATCTTTGTTACTTTGTAACCTGGGCCTATTGCTTCTGTGAGAGTTTTGGAAACGAGGAAAGGTGAAATAGCTCGGACTGTCTTCTTTTCGTTTTGACTGTGGATTACATGGTACTTTGCGAATGTCGGCTTTGGTGTGTTAGGCAGGAAAGTATCTTCGGTGCGCCACCTTTTTAGGGAGCGATCAGGAAGGGGGGGAAAAGATTTTGCCATAAAATACAATAAAGTTCGGCGGCGATGGTGGCCACCCACCACCGAGCCCAACAAGGGGACGCTACAAGGTTGACTAGTGAACACTTGGAGACGCCAGCCATGCATCGCCGCTATAACCGAATATAGCTACCCAAGGTTGGGTAATTACACGGGGTTAACCCTCGCCGCCAGGAAATTCTGAAGTAAACGGAAAAGAGGAGATGACAGGACAGATAAAAAGTGAGAGATAAAGACGAAGATGTAGGAAGAGAGAGATAGGAAAAGGCGACTGCCGATTTCCCCTGGGTGGGTCAGCCCAGGGGTGCCGTCTACGTGAAGCCGGGGCCAAAGGGGTGTGTTGCCTCTGCCGGGGGGCCTTAATGGTCCAATCACCCAGCGTCGGCTCAACCCCCAGGATCCCCTTTTCCCCGGACACGGCAAAGCCACGCACGGCTAGGCGTGGGAGGGAGTAGAAACTCCCTTGTTAGCTCGGGTCCGTGGTGTCGCTGCACACCAAACGCCTACTTGCGCAGGCGCCCCTGCGGGGTGGCCATCTGTTGTCTGAAGCCAGGACAGGAGTATTGTGGAGTAAGGCAAGTGTGAAGGGATAGATGCACCTTGCGTTGAGAGGAACAGCAAATGGCTAAGCAACTGCTGCTGCTTGTCTGCAAAGAGCTTCGCTCCAAGACATTGAGGCTAGATTTTTTCAAAGCATCGGGGTTTAGGGACAGTTTGATCAAAGTAGACATTGTGTAGGTAAGAGTAACCAAGAAGATGCTATCTGTTGATGGCTTTAGATAAAAGCTTTAAAGCAATTCCAGTTGAGATCACACAGGCATATCTCCACTCAACATTTTTTGTCACCTTTTTTTTTTTATACGAAGTGGTGTCATAAGTAACAAGGCGCGTGCTGGGTGCTGGAATGCGCGGTCGGGGTGCGAGACCCCGATGACTTGCAGGCGCGTCACATTCACATGTGGGATAGGCCAGAGAAAGGCTCATAGCACGCTATAAGAGCCGTAATGGTAAATCACAAAGGATGAGCTGGCACTGTGCACGGGGGCTTCGAACTGCGAAAACCAAAAAGGTCAGAGTCACTACAGCGACTGAAGCAGTAGTGCCGCCCGGTTTTGAAGGCTGTCAGCGAAGAGGTTCATTTCATTTTTCATTTTCATTTCTTTCCACTTTATTTTCAATTCTAAAATGATAGATCAAAAAACTGTTTGGACCCAAAGCCAAAGGCTAGAATAGGGTCCAATGATGCAATACAAAATGGCACAGTATCCAAACGATAGCACAAGGCAACAATAGCACATGTAGCAAAACAATAGAACAAGGCATTGAACCAGGATACAAGATGCTAAACATTGCGGATATAGTAAAGAAGGTTAGGCATTGTACAGACACTCAAACTTGGGTAAGATAACAGAAACATGTAATTTTTATACACAAACAAATGAAAGGCAATGAGTAATAACAACTACGCAGTAAACTTTCACTGGACGTAGTGGTACTTATATACAAGGATTGAACGATTTTGTTACTATTAAGAGGGTTACAGAGACACATTAAGGATTGCAAGAAAGTGTTTTTTTTTTCATTTTCAGAGGAATGTTAACAGCCGATTTTATATCCTGGGGCAATCTATTCCAGATTTTGGTACCGACAAACTGCAGACGCCGTTCTCTATAGACGTTGTTCATGGGAGGAAGGTTAAAATTACCGGCAGCAGTATTCCTCGTAGGCCTTTGATCCCGGAAGACTCGAGTCAGGCTGCCCAGACTTGCCGCAACCTTTCACCACAGCTCCTGATGGGCCTACAGCTCTTCCACTTCAAACTAGAATGGATGCGGTTCATTTGAATCATAAAGGGATTCCAAGACTAGCTAAGCCTGGCCTAGCGAGGCTGAAGATGACGAAGACTGGAACCAAACGGCAATGAAGATGAGCAGCTCGTTCGGCAGACCATGAAGGTAGGAGTTTGGAGAGCACGTCGATGACAGAATCGACGAACCGTCAACAGGGCAAGAGCACAGAGTCGACGTGGCAACGCGACATGTACTGTAAGAAAGTTTTGTTACTAAAACGCCACAGACATCAAACTCTGGAGTTTTCAGACACGTAGCCGCACCTGTCGACACATTTTTAAGTAGTTCAAAGCCCGACTCTCCTGCACAGTTCGCTGCGCAACCAAGTTCAACAAGTGCGTGCGAAATAACAATTGAGCTAAATATAGGTACGTTTGCACGTTGAACTCTCAGAAAAAGAGCTACGAATTTCTGTTGGCTAGTAGGGTTTGCCATCAAACCGCCGTGACGTGCTTGCTGGTTCACTCGCCAGAATGATGGCGAAAACAAGAGCATGCACAATAGCTGCGCGATCTATGAAAAAATACCCCAATCCATGCTGCTGTTGCAATGCGAATTGCCACGGGCGTAAAAGACTTTACCTTTACCGATTTCCGTAGCTTTCGCAAAGCAGAACTGCAAGAGCACTATGTGAGCTGTTGCGAACGTGTTGGGTAAGCAAATTTTTCGCGTTCTCCACAGCCTGTCATATGAAAAAGTGTGATAATGCAGGTATCTTGTTATTGTTTTGAGTAGCCTTGATGGAGAACCGCGCTAACTTTGACTATGAAACTCATCAGAGCCTCTGACCACAGTGCACACCGTGCAACAGTAGACTTGTGACAAGCACGATAAACACCGCACACACCGCGACTCCCGATAATTTGAAGTGGTCGCCACCACACAGCGTCGTGCACGTAGGCTTTGAAGGCTCCAAGTTCTGGCATAGTTCTGGTTTCAATTCAATTTCAATTCAATTTATTTTCCAGTTTATACATGCTGGATGGTTGCGTTGGGTTAAAAGCTACATAAGTAGCTTGACGAGACCCAACGACCAGACTCAACTATCAAATGCGAATACACTGGTCACACAGATAAATTGTAAAATGTTGGTCGGAGGCTTTGGTTTCACCTTTTGTTGTACACTGAGAAAGTGGACACTTATGTATCCCATTCGCAGTGTATACAAACGGAATACAACTGTCAGCAGAAAATTCTACGATGCGTATTAAAACAGTTTAATTCGCTGGAAGCGGTAGATGGATTGAGAACACAACTGCAAAGGTAAAAATCTCCGTGCGGCCATTCGTGCCAAATCAAGTGAGCTTCGTACCACTGATCGTAAGATACATTGCTCGTGTACGCAGTTCATCGCTTTGGCATCATCTTTATGCCCAAATTTAATGCATTTAGGCATTACAGAACACACTTTGGAGTGCCTCCCTCGAACTCGACGTCATGTGATGCTCACTTGCATTCAAATTGGAAGTTGCAGCACACCGAAATAACCTAAATATCTTTTGCCTTGTACCTGCAGTTCGCTTTAACGAGCTTACTACTTTTCTGATGCGAGGTCGAATTAATGGATGAAGCTTGCCTGGTCCTTGATCTTTAGGGAACTGCACTTCAACACAACGAAAGGGGACGGCCTATGCAGGCTCCTTTGCGAATGGCTCTTTGTACTACCCAGTTATGGCCAGTGCGGCGATGGGGGCGCTCGAGGCGGCGTTTTTTGCAGCGTCACCTGGGCAGAGCCTGACGTTTATATTGGATAGCTACTGGCTAGGGCTAGAGACGGTTTACTTATGTATGTGCTTTGTTACTGAGTTAATTGTATGTGCCGGCGTGTGTTTGTTTTCGCGTTCCCTTTCTGACCTCCTATTTTTTGGTGTGATAAAGGGTGTTTCTTTTGCCATGCCCATTTCATGTCTCTCTCAATCTAATCTGTTGGGAGGGCTACCAGGATAATCGTGACATGTGGGCATATTGAAAAAAAATAACTGCTAAGAAATGCCCAACACGACCCAAATCAGAAAGTTCTGTTAACTGTGATGTGTTTTGGTGCCTTACCTATTCACGTAAAAACTTCAAGGAAAAAAGTAAAACTGTGATTCAGCCTATTTGAATTGAGTCAAAGTTGTGAAATATTTTTTTCCTACAGGCAGTGTAAAAGAAAAAAAAGATATTTAAAGACAAAAGTTTTTTTGCAAGAAATTTCATTGTCGATACATACTATAACAAAACAGGGGACCAGTATTAATACCAAGAACCTTTTATGTCACTCATATAGGGTTTCAATATTGTGTTATTTGCTGGGTTCACAAGATATTACAGGTCACAGTGGCTTATGTTCAGTGAGCCTTTGCTGGTTTCTAGCTTGTGTTGCCCTTAAATGTGCAGTTTTAATAATTTTTTCTACATCATAACTAGTGTCTTGCCTTCTATGAAAATGAATTCTGAGATTTTATTTGTGTGTCACCCTCTAAAAGTTATACAAAGTTTGCCGCCTGCAACCCTCTGCTTCAGATACCTCTTTATTTTTAAGTAGATTTTTATGGAGTTTTTGCAGATACTAGTGTATTTATGTCCTGATTTCAAAGTTGCGAATATTTTTCTAGTACAGTAATTGTTTTTAAAATATTATATTCATTTATTTACCAAGCCTATTGAGTTATAAAGCAAATCAGCATATCACAATAAAAGTTGCAGTTTCGCCACAAGGGCAGCAAGTTTGATTGTCGTGCGAAGAATGACAAGCAGCTTGATGCTTGTGGTGTGCCACTGAAGCACATATGAGGATGCTCGAAAAGAATGCAGAGATATACACAGGATAAGCGTGAACCAGCAACTGTTATGCTTTTGTGTTTCAGCAACATAGAATGCCCCGAGAGATTTCTTTCAAACAGCATCACGTGAAGCAACGCCCATGCACATCCTGGTGGCGTCCAACACAGCATGGTGACACTTTACTTACACAGAGACGAGACTAGCGTGGTGCCTGGTGTTTTTCTCGCACCACATCATGACAGGGATGTCTCAAGGGCAGTTCCCAATTTGAAGGAAAATTTAATGGGAAACTCACTAAGCTCCTCTGAGATGTGCGTAATGTAATATTTCAAGGGGACAGCTTCTTTGAACAACAAAGGCACTGCTCGAGTACTTGGGGCTGCATTCATGCAGCGCATACATACAACGAAACCGAGAAAAAAATCTGTTCACTAGATAATGCTATCCAGTCCAAAGCCCATCATTTCCATGGGGATACAACGATCACCGCGACAGTTTCCTCTCTGGGTTATTTTACGGAACTCAATGCCCATAGCTCGTCATTATTACGCCGGCACATGCACAGCGCATGGTTGAGTTGTAGCGTGCTGCACAGCACAAGGTCGCCAGTTCGCATCACTGGTTAGGAGCTTTAAAATTTTTGTGTAATTCATTCTTGTGCCTTTTTCTATGTATGTTGTGAGCACTGACTATAGTAGTACTTCATCTGTATATTCCAACTATCGTAATGACCATCATCATTGATTACGTGGGCTGGCCCGCTTTAGGTCTTGCGCATCTGCAACGAACCTTGCTACTGCTGTACCGGATGTCGTTTTATAAGTGGTGGAGCGTGCTTCCTACCAGTCATCCCTGGAGCTTCAGTCTGGTCGACAGTTGCAGCATCGAACAACAAAGATGGCAAAAACCAATGTGTCTACTTCTTCCCAGCCTGTTAGGCCTCACTACACCATTTGTATATCGCAACGAGACGATTCGGTATTTCAGGCCTTTGCGGGGAAGACGTTCAGCAATGGCTCGACACTTGTAATCATTGCGAAGATCATCATCATCATCAGCCTGACTACGTCCACTGCAGGACAAAGGACTCTCCCATGTTCCGCCAGTTAACCCGGTCTTGTGCTTGCTGCTGCCAATTTATACCCGCAAACTTCTTAATCTCATCTGCCCACCTAACCTTCTGTCTCCCCCTAACCCGCTTGCTTTCTCTGGGAATCCAGTTAGTTACCCTTAACGACCAGCAATTATCCTGTCTACGTGCTACATGCCCGGCCCATGTCCATTTCTTCTTGATTTCAGCTATGATATCCTTAACCCCCGTTTGTTTCCTAATCCACTCTGCTCTCTTCTTGTCTCTTAAGGTTACACCTACCATTTTTCTTTTCATTGCTCGCTGCGTCGTCCTCAATTTAAGCTGAACCCTCTTTGTAAGTCCCCATGTTTTTGCTCCGTAGCTAAGTACCGGCAAGATACAGCTGTTATATACCTTCCTCTTGAGGGATAGTGGTAATCTACCTGTCATAATTTGAGAATGCTTGCCAAATGTGCTCCACCCCATTCTTATTCTTCTAGTTAAATCAATCTCGAGGTTAGGCTCCGCGGTTATTACCTGCCTTCAATAGACATAGTGTTTTACAACTTGAAGTGCACTATTACCTATCTCGAAGCGCTGCTCTTTTCCAAGGTTGTTGTACATTACTTTCGTTTTCTGCAGATTCATTTTAAGAGCCACCTTTCTGCCCTCCTTGTCTAACTCCGTAATCATGAGTTACAATTCGTCCTCTGAGTTACTCAGCAATGCAATGTCATCGGCGAAGCGCAGGTTACTAAGGTGCTCTCCATTAACTCTTATCCCTAAGTGTTCCCATTCTAGGCTTCTGAAAACATCCTGTAAGCACGCGGTAAATAGCATTGGGGAGATTGTGTCCCCCTGCCTTACACCCTTCTTGATTGGTATTCTGTTGCTTTCTTTATGAAGCACTATGATAGCAGATGATCCCCTGTAGATTTCTTCCAGAATGTTTATATCTAATTCATCGAAGCCCTGATTCCGCAGTGTCTGCATGACGGCTGATATTTCTACTGAATCAAACGCCTTCTTGTAATCTATGAAGGCTACGTATAGTGGTTGGTTATATTCTGAGCATTTCTCTATTACCTGATTGATAGTATGAATGTGGTCGATTGTTGAGTAGCCTATTCGAAATCCTGCTTGTTCCTTTGGTTGATTGAATTCTAATGTTTTCTTTACTCTGTTAGCAATTACCTTTGTAAATAGCTTGTATACTACAGAGAGCTAGCTGATCGGCCTGTAATTCTTCAAGTCCTTGTCATCTCCTTTCTTATGTATTAAGATGATGTTAGCGTTCTTCCAAGACTCTAGTACTCTTCCCGTCAGGAGACACCTCGTAAACAGGGTGGCTAGTTTTTCTAACACAATCTGTCCTCCATCTTTCAGCAGATCGGATGTTACCTGATCCTCACCAGCAGCTTTGCCTCTTTGCATGCTCTCCAAAGCTTTTCTGACTTCTATCATTACTGGTGGGGTGTCATCTCGGGTACTGCTAGTTCTTATAGTATTAAAGTCGTGGTTGTGCCGGCTACTCCTCCGCTATTTTAACTATCCTATCTATATTGGTAGTTATTTTGCCTTCTTTGTCCATTAGTGCATACATCCGATTTTTTGCCTATCCCAAGTTTCCTCTTCACTGCTTTGACGCTTCCTCTGTTTTTCTGAGCGTGTTCAATTCTCTCCATGTTGTACCTTCTTACATCAGATACCTTACGCCTATTAATCAACTTTGAAAGCTCTGCCAGTTCTATTTTATCTGTTGTACTTGAGACTTTCATGATTTGTCGCTTCTTAATGAGATTCTTCATGTCCTGGGTAAGCTTGCCAGTGTCCTGTCCAACTACCCTGCCTCCAACTTCCACTGCACACTCCGTAATGATACTCGTCAGATTATCATTCGTTGTATCTATGCTAAGGTTGGTTTCCTCACTAAGAGCCGAGTACCTGTTCCGAAGCGAGACTTTGAATTACTGTACTTTCCCTCTCAGTGCTAGCTCATTGATTGGCTTCTTGCATATCAGTTTCTGTCGTTCCTTTCTCAAGTCTAGGCAAATTCGACACCGTACCATTCTATGGTCACTGCATCGTACCTTGCCAACCACTTCCACGTCCTGCACGATGCCTGGGTGTCCACTCTATTTTGTTCTTATTTTCGTCATTAGGGCTACTCCATGTCCACTTGCGGTTTCCTCGTTCTCGGTAGAAGGTATTCAAAATCCGTAAATTATTGCATTCTGCGAATTCTACTAGTAGCTCTCCTCTGGCGTTTCTAGTACCGATGCCATAATCTCCTACTGCCTGGTCTCCAGCCTGCTTCTTTCCTACCTTTGCATTAAAGTCTCCCATCAGTATTGTATACTGTGTTTTTACCTTACTCATTGCCGATTCCACGTCTTTAT